GAATGTCATGCAGAAGCCTCACTACTATTCCTATCGTATTCTACAATCCCGATCTCAATAGAATCTGCAGGGGCCAAAAAATGCAGAAGGTCGCAGACCCTGCAGACTTGAGTGATGTCACGCAACCCTTCGCCGTTTTCTCTGACTGAAAAATTTTTTACGATAAAACCATCCCTCAACAACCAGAACGTTCGCGTTCCGGAAAGAAACATCCAGCGTGTAATATTTCACAAAAAGTTGTTATCAGAATAGTAAAATGATGTTTTTCGAGGAAATCACTGACAAGGGTAAGCCGCTCGTGGTTTCCTCGTTGCAGGCGTGAAAATTGACCAAGACCAGTACTCAAACGGCGTACTAATTGAAGTAAATAAAACATTGATCCGACTACGTTTTCTGAAACATCTCATAGTCCTTCCAGCAGAACGCTACTCCAGCCCACAGAGCCAAGCTTGCCCGCGAGTGGTGCCGACGACAGCTGCCCGACTTCATTGTGAAGAGGAATGGTCATCCTATTTTCCAGAACTTGACTCACTTGAATCCCACGAATGGTCCCTGATTAGAAGAGGACCTGTCGAGTTTGCAGTCCTAGTTTGGAGTCCTAAAATGCAAAATCTAGAGGACGGCTGGGTGGAGAAGGATACCTGCGTGCCACATGCGATCAAGTCGAAAGCAAACTTTGACTTCTATTCGCGGCGCTCACGGGGGATATTTTGAAATGCGACTTTAGCATGTTGTAGCACATAGTGTTAGCTAGCGTGCATAGAATTTCCATCGTCTTCCGCAGTTGAGAAGTTTCAAATATATTGCTATAAATCGGCGCAAATAATTTTGGGACACCCTGTAGACCTGGAACATGAGAGACTGCTCAGCTTATAGTCTGCTCGGTAACACTACCAGCACAAAAATCGCCCTTAGTGAGCCTAAGAATAGGTGAAAAAGAGGATTAGAGACTGTTCGATTGTTATACGAACCAGTTCAAGGCTGTCAGGTTTGATATTGATAGATTCTGCAGAAACAATGCACCAAAAACCTAAGAAGCGCTGACCTATCATTGAAATCTGATAGCAGGTCGAAAGCAATATAGTGGTCGATGACGATGGTGACTCAGCTGTCCCCATAAGAAAAACGAGAGCTCAAACGTCTTGCTCACGTCGCCTTTCCTACATCTCTCAACCCTTGCTCGTTTTCTGAGTTTGTCCCTTCCCTTCCTTCCACTCAGTTCAACATTAGAAGAAAATTTTCTAGTAGAACCGAACTCCTACCTCGAAGACACGTTTCTCCCAATGGTTGCTAACCGTACCCCCACCACCCTGATTTTCAATTTCCGCTCCTTCCAAGGTTGAACAGTTGAAGTGCCGTCGAGCTTCTTTCATGACCTTTGGCGTGACTACCATGTGAACATCGTGTTTCACCTAAAATTTCACTTTATCAGAATTCGTTTCCTACAATTAGCGCACTTCGAAGGAACATGGCTGTTCCCCTTCCATCAAAAATACAGTGCGTTTCAAAAGTATGTGCACATTCAACATTTTGTTTTTTGGGAATACCATTGCTTTCTGTTACCTGTGACCTTCACCATACAATTCCATGTGTGCGATAGCCTACGAACACTTCCTCTAAGAAAACATCGCAGCTGCTAACACAATTTTTCATTAAAGAAAAATTTTTCATTGTTTCAAAAGTATGTGCACACTTAGCAGAAAACAACACTATAATCGAGATCAGAAACCAACAGGGCCTCATAAATTCCTGTAAAGGTTATCGACAACGAAGAGTCGTTTGACAATGGCTTCGTTACGGTAGATTCCTCAGTTACCTTTGAAATGAAACATTTCGTGTCTGCACATACTGTTGAAAATTCAACTGGGACGCTCTTTTTCATGCATTGCTAGATTCATTCGAGACCGTGGCAGCTACCGCTCAACTATTCCTCGCCGTCCATGTATTTTGACTGCTCAACACAACAGGAGAATACTACGTCTTGTGGCAAATACCTCTCTGTCTGTGAGTCAGATCCGAGATCAGATGATTTATCAGTATTGCATACGACCGTTTGGCGCTCTATCCGCTCTGATGAGCATAACACACCAGAGACGATGGCGAAGGTTACTTGACTCAATACTCGCCACACACTGACAAGGCTGGAGTTTGCTCGCCCAGACCATCGAAGAGCCTCCTCCGAAATTCCTTCTAAAAAACACGAGTGGNCCCCCCCCCCCCCCCCCCCCCCCAGTAACGACGAAATCCATTCGGCCCGTCGAGATTGAACTTCCTCTTATCAGAGAAGATCACCTAAGAACAAAATGAGTACAACACGTTGTTTGTTCTAAAAATAGGCAAATCCTGAAAATTCTCGAACAACCGTACCTTGTTCCATGATGTTACCATCTTCCGGCGAGCAAACCCCAGCCTTGTTAGCGTGTGGCGAGTATTGAGTCGAGTAACCTTTTCCATCGTCTCTCGTGTGATATACTCATCAGAGCGGATAGAGCGCCAAACGGTCGTATGCGAGACTAATAGATCCATCTGTGCTCTTGTCTGACTCACAGACAAAGAGGTATTTGCCACAAGACGTGCTATTCTCCTGTTGTACTAGGCTGTCAAAATACGTGGACGGTCAGAAATAGGTTGTTAGCGGTAACTGCCAGGGTATAAAATAAATCTAGCAATGCATGAAATAGAGCGGCCTAGTTGAAGTTTCAACAGCATGTGCACATCCAAAATCTTTCATTTCAAAGGTAACTAAAAAACCTACCGTAACGAAACCAATCTCAAACGATTCCTCGTAGTCAATAACCTTGACAGATATTTAGGGGGCTATATTGATTTCTGATCTCGGTTACATTTTTGTTTTTTGCTAAGTGCACACATACTTTTGAAACAAAGAAAAAAATTTCCTTCAATAAAAAATTGTATTATCAGATGCGATGTCTTCTCAGAAAAAGTGTTCGTAGGTTATCGCACACAAGGAATTGTGTGGTGAAGGTCATAGGTTACAGAAAGCAATGGTATTCCCAAAAAAATAAAATGCTGGGTGTGCACATACTTTTGAAACGTAGTTTCGAAAGATAGATCGTCTCACAGAAACTATATGTCACACTTACCGGTCCTTTTGATGTTTCCCAATCGAGACGTGTGTATTGTTGAGTAACATTGGGGTAAATGTAGAATGACCCTGTCCTATTAACGAGAAAAGTTTTCATCATTTTTATAATCTCATCACAAAATAGGCCACATTCGAAGGTGGTGGCTGTATCATACAATTGCCAAGAGATTCAAGGGCTCGTACAAGACGTCTGAGCCATTTGTTTCTCCTCCAGCGCAACTGTGCAATATATCGAAAAGGAGTGGGATTAGTGAATGAGATAACTTCGAGTGATCTGTTTTATATTACTATTACACATGATCTATCCCTAAAACTTCGTCATAGCTATAATGTAAAATATTTTCTCAACAAAGGGAACATTATGGGTGAGAGTGAGCCTACACGGTTTTTTTCTATTGAAGCTTCTCAGATGTTTTCTTGGCCGTATTTGACGGTTATTCTTGTCTACCGAATCAAAGGAGAGCAGGACAAAGGAACTAGCATATGTATTGGACCCAGGGATTAGGAGATTTGGTGCAGTCTAGGAAAACATTATAATATCAGCAATCCGACAAAACTTTCTGCGTCAGATATGATGAAATGTGAACTGGCGATATGAACTCGAGCTCGGTTTCGTTAGACTTCCTGCCGTTGCCGAAATAACCTTGAACCCGCGTTTCTGTTCAAGTATTTTTATAAGCTATTTCTCATACCAAAGTTCGTTCTTAGAGCCTAGAACACACTTTCTTAACTATATTCACCATTTTCCAAATCAATTGGTGCTGAATTTCAAAATCGCCCGAGAAAATCTTCGAATGTGGCCTCTAGCTATAATGACATCACTCGTACCATTGAAGTTCTCCAGCTCCTGGAAACCTTTGGAACAGCATTTGCGAGAATACGAGTGCATGAATGAGCTCATGCCTGATAATGTCTCTCCATTCCCATAATTTATGTGGTATCGTCCCGTGAAACTTGTCTGGACAAATATTCATGAAACCGGCTATTGGCCTGAATTCATCAAATGAATCAGGTTTCTTTCGAGGGATATTTTAACGCCGCCTCTTTCTAGATTCTAGTTCTTCACTAATACTGGCAGTGTAAAAAGTGATTTTGTTGTTGTTTATTTTTCCATTCAATTGGCTGCCATCAGCTATTAAATAAAACAAACAAGGTAAAGTCATGAGTGCATTCTCATCTGGATACTTATCGAGAAACTTTGTTCAGGTGAGTGAGTATAATACAATTCGTAAGATGTGAAAATGAGATGGTAGTTTTTTATGAGGGCGGAAATGCCGTGCCCCTGCCACTAAATCTATGTGAACATTTTAAATCAACCACTAATCAGAAGGGTATTCCACAGTTGACAGATACGCATCTCAAAAGGCTCGAACTTTATACCACGCTTCATACTATGGGCTGTATTTGTGCTCTGTAGCGTCTTTTAAACTCACCTTCGTTTTTCAGTGAGCGAGCTATTATACAC